ATTTCCAGGACACAGCAGTGAGAAGGATAGAAAGCTTTGTTAGGCACAGTTAAAGAAAGGTACACTGAAGAATACAGAGAGCGCCCTCAAGAGTGTGAGTGTGTCTGGAGGTCCCGGGCTTGAGCACAAAGCCTTCATACTCTTTTACTTTCCCAACCTTTATTTTGAGACAGAGTCTTGCTGAGTTGTTGATTAGCCCAGCAACTTTTGGTGCTGGGGTTAAGCTTAATGCCTCAGCCTCCCAGAGTGCTGGGATTGGGTTGAGGTTTTTTATGTGGTCTTGAAGAAGGTATCTTCTAGATGGGTGACCCAGGATGTGTATTTCTACTGTCTTGTCAGATTACCCCTTTAGTGGGCTATGTTAGAATACAAGCCATTTCTATGTGTTTGAAGTTTGGAGTTGTGCTTCACACTTAATGGTGCTGCTGCCTTGCGGATGGAAGCCTGTAGCAGAAAAAGTACAGACTCAATCTGTAGGTGAAGTACAGGGGCCCAGTTTATAGGCTTGTCTCCTTTGTATCTATCTTTATTCTGTCATCTCAGAATTCAGGACATCAGCATGAATTTAGCCTAACATAGATACAAATGATTAAATAGAAATGTAGATATGTGCATATGCACATGTATATCTTTGCTCTTGGAAGAGCCTACAAGCAGTGTTAGCCTAAGAACAGTGAACACACATAGTATCCAGATCTTGAGTTCTAATACCCTTGTTTCAGTAAAAGCAAGCTGGGCTCCTTGGAGAAATGGGTGATGTGAGGATTAGTATATGAAACAGTAAAGTTGAGCATCTTTCAGTGCCAGTAAATAACAAAAACAAAAAATACGTAATGGGGGGATGTTCAGAAGATAGGAGAGCCAAATTAAAAAGTTGCCAATAGACAAAGCCAGGGTGGTTGGAGAGATAAAAATGTAGTATTGAATTATAACCCAAAGATAAAACTAATATACATGAGCTTCATAAATCCATACTAATATCAACAGAGGAGGCGTCTTAGTGCCTCTTAATCTCTACTGCTGCAGTTTTGTCCACATGGCTTAGCATGGTGAGTCTAGCAGTTCCTGAATCACTGCACAGTAGGCATGCCCTTCTGTAGTAATCCTAGGTGTGTGTTTGTTTTAAACATAGGGCCATATATGTATTGCTAAAGTTTTCTTTTTAATTCGTTAATGTACCCGAGATGAACCAGATGGTTTCTTTTTCATGCTTGCACAGTTCTCATATTTATCAAGTGCATTTGAGCTAATTTGTATTCAAGATGCGGTATAGCACAGGAGACCTTGGAGTGTAATATTAATTTCTGAGGGGGAATAGTTTCAGGTGATGTCAGAATCCATTTTGGACCTAGGAAGAAATAATTAAAGCTGAGGTAGAAGTCCATGCAAGCCCAGAAATTTTAAAAAGCAGAATCAGTAAAATAATCAGAGAAAGTGATCAGTGTATTGCTGCTGTAGGGAGATTTATGTAACCATGAGTGCATGTGAAAAGGTTAGATGAGGTCTAAGAAGTTAGAGAAAGAACAAGAAAGGAAGGCTTGAGCTAAGTAAAAGACCTAAAGGGTGGGGAGAACCTAACCTGGCCAAAGAAGGAAGGTGGGGAGAGCTTGCCATTTATAGGAAGTGGAACTAGCACAAACTTGCAGAGACTAGCTAGTCGGTCAGTGTGAAGAACTGAGAAAGACCTGAATGTGTCTGGAGCAGAAAAGGTGGTGGGAACGTGCAGAGTGTTTAGGAAATCTTTTCCAAGGCCAAAGAGGATTCTTTGGGAGGCATTCTAGGTATATTGAGGCATGGTGATGCAAGAAAGGCAGGTTTGTGTTTGCAGAAAGGCAGTGGCTGGCTCAGGTTGGAGAGTGGATGGGTGTGGCCTGGGGTGGGCTCCATTCAAACTCCAGTTTTTTAAGTGGAGTTGACAGAATGTTTGAATAAAAAGAGCTAATTTTGCTAGAGTTTGAAGCAGTATATTTATTTTCTTCTAGAGCCATATAGAAAACAACATTGATGACTTTGTGATTATAAAGTTTAAACTTTGGTACTGTGAGTTTTTTCTTTTTTTTTTTTTAAGACTATAAAATATAAAACAGCAGTAATCTTCCAGCCCATAAACAAAAAGTAGGCCTTGTGCTTCTAGTTTTGTCTTGTTCTTACTAGACTCCTCTAAGAACTTCTCTGAGTCCTTTTAATTTTACATCTAAACTTGTCTTTCAAATTTTAATTGAAAAATGAAACCAATCTTTTAAATTTTTGCATTTGTCGGACTTTTCTACAATGTAAGCATATAAATACAAAGGATCCATGAAGATTTAAGCTTGGGTAGTACTTCATAATTATTTTTGCATAATGTGAAAATATATTCAATTTTAATTCATGAATGGATTTAGTGCATCATTCTATCAGCTTGAGGAAAGTTATATAATCTCTGAAAAGTTTCTTAAGTTTGAGAGCTTATTTGGAGGTTCTAGCAGGGGAACAAAGCTACCCTTACATGCTTAACTGAGGAAAGGTCCTCCTCTGCGTGGGCAGTCCTCCTCTTGGGAGGCACTTGTCCTCTTGGGAGGCACTGGAGGAGCGGTGAGAGGACGGGGATTACCACCTAGCCAGCCAGACTGTCCTCATAGATGAGGTTAAGTAATACTTACTTCACAAATGGTGAATGAGGAAAAGTCCATAGACAAGCACCTAATGGTCGGAGAGATTGTTCATTCTCAGGTAATTTTCTTTCTCTTTCACCATAGTCGCAGGGGGTACAGGAGATGGCAGTTGAATGCAGAGTGATCCCAAATGCCCCCTCTAAATCCTTCAGGTAGAGTCAGAGCTTACACTGGATTGGGCTTCTTGAATTTAAGACCTAGCATGAATCTTGGTTTGGAACCCTCTCTCAACAGTGTGACCATGGGCAAGCTTCTTTATCTTGAGCTCCTCAGTTATGAAATGACAGTCAACAGTACCTGCTTTGGGGGGGTTGTCTTGACTATTAGGGGAGTTAATGAACATAATGATTGCCTTTAGAACAGAGCCTTTCACGTAGTGTTAAATATGTTAACTACTTTTCATTAAGTATATCTTGAGATCACCTTGCCCCTGAAAGTTTTGGTTACCACCGCCTCCCCTCTCCCCAACAACCAAAAACAAACACTAAAACTTGGTTGATTTAGTACTTGGTTGGATTCTGTTTAGTCAAGGTTGTCTTTGGATTTATTCAGAACTAATTGTTAAATATGCATTTGGTTTGCTTGACTTTTTCCCAGGAACCTAATTATTTGAATATATTTTTACTGAAAAAGATGTTTCACTGAAACCACGATTCATTAAATGTCCATCCCTTTATTGAAAAGTGACTGTTGCACATTTGTCCTGCTGTTTTTTCTCTTGCTGCTTCGCTGAGTGTACATTTATTGTATACATGTGTTAAAGTGGGTTTTTTTGGGGGGGTGCTATACAGTGTAGCTTCTTTTAGTCTTTCTAGCTAAGTTTATTGATATTCTTGTTATTTGACTGAGAAATTATTTCTGCCTCTAGTAAAGTCTTATGGCAGAGAAAAGAATGATTGAGTTTATTCAGTTTGTTTTGGGCCATGTAAACATGTGCTAATTTGCATTGCAAGTATAAACTTAGCTGTTTAATAATAGGGTGTGCTTTGGTAATTTGGTAAAGTAAATAGTGAGGGAAGATATGATCTTGTATGTGATAGTTATTGTATATCTTAAGGTGTAATTTTTGATTTAAAAGAAGATAACTTAGTTTTTATACAAGGATGGTGCGTTTGAGGAGAATTCTGCTATCCATGAAGGTATTTTATAGCATGACTAAAATGTGAGTTGGTGTTGAATGAAGCACATCTAAGTAGGATACCTGACTGAAGCTTCTCCTACAGTCCTTTTGGGGAATATGGAAATTTGTCTCACACTCTGCTTTCTGACATGTTATTCAACTTTCTCTTCTTCAGCTTTTGGACATACTTTCTCTTGCTCCTTTGATTTTGTTTCTGTGCCAGCTTTCCCAGAGATAATTTATATCTTGAGCAAAGCTTAAGGGAGGTGATTGTGAATGAAGGAAGCCTTCTGGGATTAGAACTGAGTAATAGCTAGTTTTAAAAATTTAGAAATCATTGGCTAACAGACTTCCTAAAATGTCACCAGTGGCAGACAGTTATTTCCTTTCTTAAAAAGAAAGAAAAACAGTATCATGATATATTTCTTAATAGGTTTGGGTTTTCATTTCTCCTTTGTGACAGGAGTGAGGGTGCTGTTATGCCTAGGATTGAACCCCAGGGCCTCCCACATTCTAGGCAAGGGCTTTCCCACACTCCTTGCTCCTTTTGAAGATTTTATTCTGAGACAGGGTCTTGTTAAGTTTCCCAGGCTAGCCTTGAACTTACAATCAACCTCGTGTAGCTGGAATTACAGGTCACTGTCATGCCCAGCGAATGGGTCATTACTGATTGAACAATTTTTATGAATCAACTTTTGGGTAGAATTAGTGATAATATCTCATATAACAAAACTATAAATTCTTAAAGTAAGAATTGTTTTTTAAAGATTCAATCTAGTTGTCTAAAATTGTACTTAATGTTATGCTATGATTCAGATATCTCTGGTTTTACAAACAGGTCATTTTTCAAGAATAGGGATAAGTTACGTGCAAACTTAGATCTGATAAAACAAAGATCCTTTGCTCATTATGTTTCTCATAAATCTGGCCTTTTTTTGTCCTAAAAATATAGTTTACCCTACTGTACTTTTAATTATCATAAAGGACCACTATGTGCAGGGTGCTCAGATTCTGAAGCTTTTATAAAGCTAGCAATGGTGTGAAGAATTCTGTGACTTACTTGGACTGTTTTGCATTTTGGATTAACTGAGATGGTGATCATTGGGTTATTTTTAATTATTTGAATTATTGGGGGCAAAAATTAAATCATTCCAGAAACTTTTATTTGTTCCTGAATTGCTTATTGAGGTTCTCGTTTTCTTTCTTTCTTCTTCTTTCTCATGCAGGTCATGGTAAAACCCCTAAAGATGCAGCATCAGTTCGAGCCACGCACCCAATACCAGCAGCATGTGGGATTTACTATTTTGAAGTAAAAATTGTCAGTAAGGGAAGAGATGGGTAAGTGTAAATTTTGGTAGAAAAAATCATTTGCTACTTTTGAGTAATTATTTTTGTTTTGATTCATGATGAATGTTTTGATTCCATTATGATGTGATTGGAAAATTGAAATCTTAAATTTTGTTACGTGGAAAAGTAGAATGTGAATATTCTAGTAGAACAGATTAGATCTGATTTTGCTTAAATGCTAGTTTAAGCTAAAGCTTGAATTCATGATTTTAACTTTACTTTGTTTGTTCATTTTATTATTAAAACAGTTGAGATTAAACAATAGAAGGACAATGATTCATTTTCCATGACTTTTCTTCCACTGCTTGTTTTCTGAATTCTAAGAAATTAAGTGTGAAACCTAGTTAACCAAAACCTAGATGACTTATTAGGTATTTTTACAGGGGACTGGGATTGGAATTTCAATCCAGTCATTTCAATTCAATCATTGGGATGTATATTTGTGTGCCCTTCAGGAGAAGAAATTCCCAGGGGTTAGGATGTGGTTTAGAAGTTTGCGGATGAAGGGTGGAGGAGGGTGTGCAGTTCAGTCATAGAGCCCTTGACTCTATGACCTCGCAAGCTTGGTGCCCTTGGGTCAGTCCCCAGCAGTGCAGAAAGAAAGAAAGCTTCCAAATGAAGCTTTCAGTTGACTTTTGTTTGCAGTGATATTGAAGAATTTCTTGTTCTTGCCTGCCTTCACCTAGAAGGTACTGTTTGGCTTTCTCTGAGTGTACGTGTTGGCTCATATTTATAGTTGTGTATGCATGGCCTTCCTCCTTATATTCACTTGCTTTGCTCCTCTTCCCACTTGCCAGGCTAAGAATCCTTTTTTAAAATTTTGTTTTTTGAGATAGGATCTTGCCATATAGTTTAGGCTGGCCTTAAACTCATGCATAGCCAAGATCCTTTTGCCTCAGCTACCCGAGTGCTGGGATTACAGGGGTGCACCACCATGCCCAGCTCTGAGAATCCATTTGCAAGCCCTACTTTAGGGTTACCTTTTTGTGGCCCTTTCTTTTCCTCAGAATAACATTGTGTAGTTTCTGGACATTTTAGGTAGACTTAATTATAACATTAACACTGTCTTAATTGTCTGCTTGCTGGTATATGACAAATTCAGTGGCAGGGATTGTTGCACATTTTTGTAACTCTAGTACTTAAGTTATGGCTAGGAGTTAGTGAATGGATACGTGCATTGAAAAGGGACAGTGCCTGCCCTATGTGTTGTCAAAGAAAACATTGCTTTGGTCAGATTTTATTTGTTTCTCTGATAGACTTGTTAACCAAGTTCTAGGCCTAACCCATTGTGCTGAAAGGCAAGAACAATATGTTTATGAAGAAAAAGCGATTCATATTGCCAATTCTGGTCAAGCAATGTTTTTTTGGAGATGTACTGACTATAGCAAATGTTGTGAAAATTCTAGCTTAAATGCCTAGCATCTTTATAAAGAGTGGACCAAAATGAGTAGCTGTTAATCATCTTTTGTTATGACATATATCAACTTGACAGTTCGTTTTGCTTATTTTAAAAATGAATTTTCTAAGCCAGACGTGGTGGCTCATGCCTGTAATCCCAGCACTTCGGAGGCTGAGGCAGGAGGATTGCTGCAAGTTCGAGACCAGTCTGGGCTACAAAGTGAGTTCAGGGTCAGCTCAAACCACAAAGTGAGATCCTGTCTCAATAAATAAATAAATAAATAGATAGATAGATAGATAGATAGATAGATAGATAGATAGAATTTTCTTTTAAACCATGTGTTTATCCAAGAATAGGACAAGTAAATAAATACTTAAATCAAGATTTTAGATTTTCAGAAAAACTGTCATTGACCACAGGTTCTCTTATGAAATGGCAAGAATTGAGTATGAATTGCCTTTTTCAGAAGAATGAAAGAAACCAGAAAGAACTGACACTAATGAAGTGTGCACTCAAAAATACTCTTCTGTCACATGCATTGTTTCTAAGTCGTCTTACAGAAAATTTGGACTAGGACTATAATGGTGGTTACTTGTATTTTTTTTTTTTTTTTTATTATCTACAGGATAAGCTGGAAGGAAGTTTGTATTATTGGATGAAGGACGCCAGGAGTGGTGGTACATTCTTGTAACCCCAGCACTCTTGAGAGGCTACTGCAGAACAATCTCAAGGCTGAGTCCAATGTTGCCAGTTTAGCCACTTAGCAAGACCCTGTCTCAAAAATACTAAAAAAGGAATTTGGGGTGCAGCTCAGTTTGAAGGTCCTGGGTTCAATCCCCAGTACTGTTCCCCGCCCAAAATTTTTCAACATTACATTTTCTTTTAAGCTAAGCATATTTCCCATGTATATTCAGCAAAATCAGTTGAATTAAAACTAGCCTGTCAAAATTCTGTGATTAATTTAAATTTCTAACATTTCACAACAGGAAATTAAACCAGCTTGTGTATGTGACTTTATGAGTGACATACTTACGGTGTGTATATTACTTTTTGTCATTGTTAGTGATAAGTGATTAGTAGATGAGTTTCTGAAAAGGCTTGTTTCTTCTAAGTGCACTTTGAGTTCAGGAGTTTCATTCAAGTTTTAAATTATGCATACTGATAGAAGCAGTGGAGACAGTTAATTCTAAAAGTGAGAGATAATAAATTTTTTATTTGAAAATTTTTAGAATTATAATTCATTACAAGTGTGATATTTTTAAACTCTTCAAACAAAATATTGATGCCACTGTGACAGTGATTCAGGAAGAACTGGCATGTAATTAAGTCTTTTCTGTTCTAGTCCTAAATTATTCTGCTGATGGAAATGTACTGTCTTTCAGAATGTTTTTTCTATGTTTACTCACTTTCTTGATTATGGGATGGAGGTTGCATGAGTAAGAAAGATCCGTTTTCCATCTACCTTTAAATTAAAAACTACAAAATCTGCTTCTGGTTTCAGTTGATAGTGAGCAGCAAAGGGAACCTCACAGTTGGTGGGAACAGAGAGAAAGCTGTATTTAGTTACTTAACAAAAATTTGTTGAACAAGTTGCATTGTCAGCATCTGACTGTAAGAAGGATTACTTCATTTGTGTCTGGTGTTCACAGTATGGTTCCTAGTACAGGACCCGACGTTTAGGAGAAATTTAGTAAATGCATTGATATCAAATTTACTGTTTGGAAGATAGGGGTCAGGGAGCAGGCATATCCAAATAACCATAGATTAAGACGTTGTTTACTAAATGTTTTAAAATTGACACCATCTATAGAAGAACCGAGGAGAGAACAATAAATAGACTTATAAAGGCAGTGTTATTTTGATAGACCTTTATAAAATGAATACATTGGAGAGGCTTTGTTGTAGAGGAATATTTAGGACTGAGGTAAATGACTGGAATGGTCTCCTGGGAAGGGTGGAGCCATGTGCTTTGGCAGAGGTGTGCAATTCATTGTTACTGGATTGGAGGCATTACAAGGAAGGGTTTATTGGAAATAAGAAAGGAATTAGTATTAGAGATCCTTGGTGATTGTCCTAAGGGCTAGCACTGTGTAAGTAGTGGGGCGCTTTCAGTCTTAGGGAAAGGTGTAAATACTTAATGAAATCCCATGTAAGGTGCATAGTGTAGACATGAACAAACTAGAGAAATGGTGTCGGGAAGCATGATCAACCCTGTTAGAAGGTGGGTTGGTAATCAGAGAGGGCTTCATAGCAAGCGTGTGTATAGCAGCACAGAAGGGGAACAGCTGGGTGTAAGTCTCAGGTCTCCATTTACCTTCCTTAGGCTAGTTTTTAGTTAACCTTAACTGAGACAATATGTGACTTTAAAGGAAAATGCCCGTTTCAAAAGCTGATTAGAATAATGTAGTGGAGATTTTAGTCTTGCCTGTGCCACTCACTAGTTCTGCGATTTGGTTCTTTTAGACAAACTCCCAAGACTCATTTGTAAAAGAAAATAATACCAACCCCATAGGGCTGAATTAATATAAATTGTTGAGTGAACTTACCTGAGTGCCTGCCACACAGCAAAGCTGCGATCCTGGACTCTGCTGTGGTTCCCAGCACACTCGTGCATTGCTCTGCTGCTGCTGCTGGGAGACGCAGCAGGAAGTGTTGTAGGAGTAGTGTGTAGAAATGATCGTCAAGGGACTTCTGATGTTAACAGCTTTTATATCTTTCAGGTACTGATACTAAGCAAGGAAGTAATATCGATAGGTTTACATTTTAGATAGGCTATTGTCTTAGTTACTTTATGATTGTCGCTGAGACAAAATACCTGATGCCCAAGTTGGGAAAGGAAAGGTTTATTTCTTACAGTTTTTGGAGGTTTCAGTCCACACTCGGTTGGCTCCAAGACAGGTGGGCATGGCTGGGCCGCAGTTCATGGCGGCCGCCCACAGTGAGCTCGAACCAGCAAAGAGAAAAGCATAAACCTTCCTGCCATTACATCAGGTGCTCCCTATGTGGGTGGAGCACTGACACCATCAACCCAAGCACTAGACAATGAACCATCACAAATGAACAATGCAAACTCATGAGGCCTGGGGGACACAGACATAAACCATGACAGCTATTTTTGAGGTTATTGAAAATAGATGTGAAACATGCCAAGGCCAGTTAGGCTATTGAGGGTTATTAAATCTGTGTGTGTAGTAGAGTTAGTGAGGTTGTTAATTAACTACAGTTATGCATCGCTTAATGAAATGACTGAGGTACCTCTGTGAGAAATGGGTTGATGGTAATTTTGTCACTGTAAAAATATCTTGGACTGTACTTGGACAAACTGATTTAGCTATGACATCAGTAGGGAATATATTTTACAGATGTTGCCTGTTGACTTACAAGGTTGTTACGCAGTGCGTAACTGTATTTAGGACATCAAACCTACATAACTGTCATAAGTTTAGGACAGTAAAACTTGATGAGGAAGTAGAATTGTCAGGAACAGCTGGTGAGAGAGAGTTAATGATAATTTACAGGTTTCGGGCTTAGATGATTTAATAGAGGATGATGAGACTAAACAAAGGAGAAACTATTGGAGGTAAAGTTGAAG